ACGCCAAATAATGTACTCGTTCACAGCTCATATTGCCCAAATGAACAAACATAATGTCCCTGCGATTCCGTCATATTTTTGTGGAAGTCGTCGAAAAAGTGTGCTCCGTACAGAGATCTGGCGGTACGCCCCTTTATTCCATGCGTGGATATTTGGCGCAAATGACTCCAAAAAGTGAGCTTGGGTAAGTGATAGGACGGCACTTAGCTTTGCCGGAGTCCCCGGACATTTTGCGCAAGTGCATACAAATATGAGCACAAGCCGCAAAGGGGCATCACAGAATTTTACCCAAAGGCGCTGAAATTGCATGCAAGACGCCAAAAATCCCGTGCACAAGCCGAAACAACCATACCTACATTAACCGTCATTACTTTGCCCGAGTGAACATGACTACGACACAATGACAAAGCAGTATTCAACTAGATAATCGTTAATTATTATTAGCTCAGAGAACAGTACCATTTAGTAGGAGAGGGCAATAGAAAGCAGGGCTGAGCAGAAATGTCTTGGTTGTTGCAGAAACAGTTCGCAGAAAGTCACAGGAACGTGACGCAAACACGCAGAAGAAATGTCCAATTGTGAACAGATTTGCCGACTTGCCCAAACCTTTTTCGAAACCAGGCCAGAAGAATCCATCAGAGGCCGAGAAATGCCCAAATGGGCCAAACAAAGAGGCTCTCACATGTATCATCGTCATCTTCATCGTCCAAGGTGGTAACCGTCTTTGCCTTTTTAGCCTGGAGCGGCTCCAAGGCGTTCTTGGCTCTGCGCTTTTTGGCCTTGTTGAGTTTCAGCTGTTGCTTGTGGGAGCCAAACAGGTGGTGATGTGGGTAAAATAATGCCCTTCGACATGATAAGGGACCTACATAAATGAGTCGCTAAAATTTGATCCAGCGTTTTGTGCACCTTCCCCATAATATCCACTTTGCCCAAAATGCGCTTCTTAGATGTGGTTTCTCTTAGGACTGCATGTTAACGGTTGGTTCGTATTGGTTTTACGTCTCTTTAGAAAAATCGCATACCCTCTCTACTGTATCACATGGTATAAGAATGGGATTCACGAATTGAAATTTCCAAAGACGGGCAATCTGGGATTGATTTGACCGTTGTCACATGATTTCTGGGTTCCGATTTCTCGAATTTTTCGAATAATCGCCTTCCGAATGCTTCCGAATAGAGACAAATAAACCGTCTACAAATACCTTTGGCGAAAATCACAAACACTCCTCAGCGTGGAACCCTCTTGGATAATAGATCTAAACATATAAGACTAGGCTACCTTGGTACTCCTTAAACGCTCAGGGGTGTTCGGGTGAATTTAGCGACTGGCCTTTGGCTAACTGATTATCGAGCGTTGAAGCACGTGGAGAGCAAGCCGTGCCAGATCGATAAATGTGTGAGATCTGGGGGTCATAGAATCAAGTCACGTGCGCGTGCTGTCGATTTATAAAACAGATTAGCTGCGAAATATCCACCCCAGCAATTGCAGACTGTCACGGCTGTCACGGTACATTTACCGGTAGAGTACAGCAAGAAAGAGGCCATGGGGTTTTGGAACAGGCAAGTTTCTAGGCTAGGGAAACCAGCCAGCAAAGGTACGCAAAGAAAGAGTCAAAATAATTCGAGACTCTATAGGTTCTGTGGCACCAGGCAGGGGAGATGAATTGAGGACCAGTACGGTCGGCCGTACTAGAAGATAGGAGTTGAGGGAGGGACGCACACTACCGGTGCCGTAAACTATTGGCTGTCAACGCCAACATTGCTGGGTCACTTGCTTGAACCACACGTAATACCGGGGTTCACTTCCCTTCAGATTGCGTTTGAAGGTTGGCACCACTTTTTGATCATTGCAATGACTTACTTCACGGCACAATTAATTGACGCCGATCATTGTAGACTACTGAAAAAGGGCTGGGCAGGGAGCGCATTCTCCAAAGTCCCCAGAAAACAGCGTACAGTAGAATGAATCCGAGTTGGAGGTGTTTCTTTGCTGCCTTTTTGATATAGAGAAGTTGAACAGAACGATCGAGTCATCGTTCATCTTCTGATGTTCTTCCGGTCATTGCAAAAGTCTGAACCTCTTCTGCATATTATTATGTACCGGTACAGTAGCTGCTGCAGCACCTGGATGGAACTTCTACTTTCTCTAGCTAGTATGGATCAGGCTTTCGGGTCTGACCTTGATTTAGATGACAGCAGTGTTGACACTATCAGCAATAGTGCAGCTAGTAGCAGTGCTGATGACAGCAGCAGCAAGGGCGGGTCCGGTTGGTGACCTTCCCCTTAATATCTTGCCTCGGTTGGGTTTTAAACTTTCCCGGCTGAGGGGGCCAACTCTCTCCGCCCCAATGTTTGTGGGGGTTATCGGTTTAGGGTAGCGGCACGGTGGATAGTCGTACTCAGAGTAGCCTTAAAATAGAATTCTATTTATTTACTTTCTCTAGCTAGTAGAATATTACATAATAGACTACACGGCCTGCACGGCCACTGGAGCCACGAGCTTGGACGGACCGGTAGGGATGAGCGGTACCAGTATGCCAGAACAGCTCCAGTACCCATGTGCATACCGTCGTAATATTCAGAAGCAACCATGCACCTAAAGTAAGTCTGCTCCTATTTCCTTTACTCAGATAGAGTAGAGGGTTTTCCCGTGACCAGTGAAGCCAGGAGTAGTCTCGTGTTCTGTACTCGAGCAAAGAGCAAAACTTTGCGGAATGGTCTTGTCTGGTTGTTGGAGGTTGCAGGAGGAGATTTTTCACAGCAAAGAAAGATGATGTTGATTGATCATTACAAATTAGTTTTCACCACAATCCAACTTTACACAGTTTTTTGATGAGAGACAGAGAATAGAGCAACAACAAACCGACCATGGCCAACCGCAGTACCATCTTCGCCTCGGAAGATCTCTCATTGCCTCGCCATGGCAACAGACCGACCATGGCTAACCACAGTTCCATCTTCGCGTCGGAAGAGCTCTCGTTGCCTCGACACGGCAATTTTCTTTCTTCTTCCGTCACCAGCAATCCATGGGACGATCAGGATGTCCAGCGCACCCAAACCCGTAATCAGCGCCCAGCCAGGCAGAAGAGTATAATTGACAAAGACAGGGTTACCATTGTGAATCCCAGCACCGCCATGTCTCATAGAGTCAACACCAAGTTGGGGCAATTTTGTACGGAGAAGCTTTTACAGTGCAAACGACGCCTCACCAAGTTGTACGGTCGTCAACGAGAGATTCGACTCTTGGAAACCGAGTTGAACCAGATTTGCAACAAGACCAACTGCCACCACCGCTCGCTCTGTTTGATTCGTGGACTCAGTGGGGAAGGCAAGACAGCCTTGGCCCTGTCACTCAAGGATCCTGCCGAACGTCAAGGCGCCTTTTTTGTACAGGGCAAGTTTGACTTGGCACAGATTGGAGAACCCTATTCTGGAATCAAGGCGGCCATGCGACAGTTGTGCCGGGAAATCTCCCAATTGCCACGACGCAAGTTATCCGATCAAAGCAAAAAGCCAACTCTGGAAGATCTCCAAGAAGCCGTAGCAGAGCAGTTGGACTGGGAAATGGACCTCCTCTGCCAGGTTGTGCCGGAATTGGAGGTACTCCTTAAACCAAAAGCAGGAGCAGCAGAAACCACCAAGAGCCCTGGTCCAATTCAAAAACTATTTTTAAAAGTTTCCGAGACAACAAGTCAACAACAACGACCGTCAGGGCAGAGTTTCGGCAGTTTCGGTTCCAAAAAGACACCAATCAAGGCAGGATTCCGACGACAAAAGGCAGTGCACGCAGCAGATGCAACTACCACGATCAACAATTACAATGCCAAATCGGCTGGGGATCGTCTCCAGTTTGCCATGCGGCAGTTGATTCGATTGATAACAGGGTTTGTGCCATTGGTACTCCTCTGTGATGATGCACAATTTAGTGACACGGCCAGTCTCTCCATTCTCAAGGGATGGATTACCGATGATACCATTCCATCCCTTTTGATGATTTGGACCTACCGAAGCAACATGGTCAATGACAATCATTTCGTCACAAAAACGCTCCAGGAAATCCAAGAAGTCAAAGACGAAAAGAAGATTGCCATTCATGAGATTGCCATCGGAGAACTGCATCAGGGAGATGTCAATGCCATGATTGCCGACATTTTGGATATGCCACCTGAACAGGTCAAAGAACTCACCGACACTATTCATCACAGAACCCATGGAAATGTGTTCTTTGTGATGCAGTACCTCCTGTCCTTGGCACAAAAGGGACTGCTCAATTACAACATGGGTTGTTGTCAATGGAACTGGAATCTACAAGATATTCGGTTTGGATCCACGGCCACTGACAATGTGGTCGATCTCATGAGGGAAAAGTTGGAACAGTCGCCCACTGCTCGGAGGCTCCTTCCCTTGGCGGCATGCATCGGTACCACGTTTGATGCCCAAGTGTTGCAGGCTGTCATGATGGCTGCAGATGACCACCCAATTTTTTTGGATGTATTGGGAAGTGACTTTGTTTTGGTAAGCAACTTTGGGGTTGATATTGACAACCAACTCCATCAGCTTGAAAGTGAGGGATTCATTGAAGCCTCCTCGAAAACGACCTTTTCGTTTTTACATGACAAGGTTCTCGAAGGAAGCATTTCGCTGATTCCAGAGGCAAAACTTGATTATCTAAAGTACACCATGGGGTATATTCTCCTGGAGAACAGGGAGAGTCTTGAAGCCCTAGGAGTGGAACAGTTGACCTTTCTCCTGGTCAATCTCATCAATCCGAAAATGGAGCGACTACCAGACGAGAAACGAATGGAGATGTTTGAGTTGAACTGGGCAGCTGCTGAAGAGGCTTACATTGCTGCAGCCTTTCGGCGTTCAGCTGTGTATTACAAGGCTGCCATCTCCCTGCTTCCTGAACGTCATTGGGAGACCATGTACGACGAGAGTCTCTATCTGTACACGTCCGCAGCGGAGTCTGAGATGTGCTTGGGCAACTACGATCAAATGAAGGCCTACAGCAATGTTGTGCTGGCATTGGACTGTCCCATTCAGGATAAGATTCATGTGTACCGAATCATCATGGACGCACATATGGCAAAGGCTGAAGTTCAGGAAGCCTTGAATGAAAGCTTGAGTGTCCTGGAAAGTTTGAAGTTTCACGTTCCCAAGACTATGCTTGGTCCGCGGACTTTGTCGGCCATCGCCAACATTAAGCTCCACAAGAAAAAGTGGAAGCCGGATTCCTTGCGAAGACTGCCAGTGAGCACGGATCCTGTGGATGAAGCCATCTCCAAATTGCATGACACTCTGATTATGTTTTCCATGATTGTACGTTCTCCTGGTCTGTTTGTGGTTGGTTGATCCGCTTCTGTACTAACAGTGCCCTTTTGCTAACACAAATTGTAGGCCTGGCCTGAGGCATGGCCGCTCTGTATTATCATGGCATGCCGCCATGTCATCGATCGTGGGCTGACACGATATTCTGCCGTTCCGTTTGCATGGATGACCATGATCATTCAAAATGTGTTTATGGACTTCCAGTGGGCCAAAGAACACGCTGAGGTGACCTGCTCTCTCATGGACAAGTTTCAAAACCCAGAGATCGAATCGAGAATTTCCATGGTGCTCAACATTTTCACCATTCACTGGTCCGCACCAATTCAGCAGTCTGGCAAGGCATTGACGATTGGGTACAAGAGAGGGATGGAGTGCTGTGACTTGGACAGTGCTTTCTGGAATGCCCAATTTATCAATGAGTCGGCACTGTATTCTGGGACCAACCTTGCGTTGATCGAAAAGGATGTGGAATCCTACACCAAGAATGAGATGGACTACAAAATGTTCAAGCATGCAGACTGTTTGAAGAGCGTCTGGCAGTTAGTTTTAAACCTCCGTGGCTGTTCATCTAACACGACAATCCTGACTGGTACAGCTCACGACGAAGAAGCGGCATTGAAGATGCTAGACACCTCAAATGATCTTCATCACCTCTCCCATTTGCAAAAGGATAGACTGTTTGCAGCTGCCTTCTTTGGTGATTTCGAAATGGCGGCGGACCTTGGTTTGTCCGCCATTGATATGATTTGCAAGGTTCTCACAGGTCAGTATTCTACCCTTGTGGCACGGTTTATTGTGGGTGTCGGCTGCTATGAAATGGCCCGACAACGGCCGAAACGAAAGAAGGAATACATTCGAGCAGCCACAAAGCAACGAAAGCAAATTCGGCAATGGTTTTCTATGGGATGCCCAGGGGCTCAACACTATGCCCTCTTTTTGGATGCAGAGCATGCCGCCAGCAAAGAAAAGGTGGAGGATGCCATTCAGTTTTATCAGCGCACCATTACACTGGCAGGTAGGACAGGGTACCTGCATGACCGGTCTCTTGCTTGTGAGAGACTAGCAACTTTGTATCTGAGAATGGACGACATGGCCAGTGCCAAGGCTCGTCTCATCGAAGCACGAGACCTTTCGGAGGAGTGGGGTGCAATGAAACGAGTTGAACTTCTCGACAACAAATTGAAGTCTCTCTTCTAACTCCTCTAGCTACTGTTTTAAAAAATAATTCTTCTGGGTGAAGTTATGGCTCGTGAGCACCTCATTGCAACTCACAGCATGGAACACTTCGTAGCCTGAAACAATGGCTCTCCATGCAATACAACGTCAGGAAATCTAGGTTGCTCCTATTGGTCAGCCTGTGACGTCTTCGTTTATCTTGACAGCGTTGCAACATTCTGTACCAGCAGTATTGTAATCGTTTTCTCGTACCGTATGCACAAGCCAGAAAGTAGAACTGGCGTTCTTTGCTGAAAGAAACATCATCAATCACCGTGTCTCGTCGCCTCTGCAGGCAAAGTCTACTCCTCCATGCTGGTCTGTTCTTGCTGTTGCTGTTGTTGATACTGATCCAAATAAAAGGTATACGTTACGACACCGAATTCGGTGTGTTTCCGAAAGGGCACACCGGAGCTTTCAAAGACATGTCGCATCCCCCGATTGTCCGCCAATACGTCGGCCTTGAACCGGGTCAAATCTTCAAATGTCTGTGACAATTCCACGAGACGTCGGAACAAGTACTTGCCCAGTCCTTCTCCTTGCCAATCATCCCGTACTTGAAATGCAATCTCCGGCGGCGCCTTGACGGGGGCTCCTGGCCGTGGATCGGCAATCCATTGGCCAATTGCCACCAGTTCCGACGAAAACGACCCCGTCCGACTGGATCGCACGGACGGTGGCGGATGCAATACCACCAATGCCATGTCACTGCTGTAATCGACATCGGAATACTTTTGCAAGATTCGTTGGGGCAACGACTCCATTTTTCGAAAGTATCGGAGATAGACGGAATGATTGGAGAGTTTGTGAAAGAATTGTCGTAACAAGTCTTCGTCGACCGCCTTGATGGGCCGGACAAAGACTTCGCGATGGGTTTTGCGGGTCGTGTGCAAACATTCGAAATGGGCGGGATAGTGACACAGGAAGGATTTTCCCATTTGAGAATCGCTCAGGTACTTGAATTGCTTGGCCTGTTCCAATAGAATGCCACGGAAATCGGGATGAGCAATCTCGATCAATGCCAGACATCGTTCCCGAATGGATTTGCCGTAGAGGTAGGCAATGCCGTATTCCGTCACGACGTATTCGACATCCATGCGGGTAATGGTAACACCCGATCCCAGTGGCAATTCCAAGAGTATGTTGGACCGTCCTTGACTGCTCTTGCTGAGGAGCATGATGATTGGTTTGCCGCCGGGTGAGAATGATGCCCCGCGAATGGAATGATCGGTACTCCAGACGCCACCGTAGAATTTGTGAGCAATGCTATCGGTCGCAACTTGTCCTGTGAGATCCACCTTGAGGGCGGCTTCCAAGACGACCAAGTTTTCAATCTTGGCCAATATCTGCGGATCACTAATATAGCTTGTGGGCTGGAATTCAATGGCCGGGTTGCGATCGAGAAACTCGTATAGTTCGGCACTGCCATGAGCCTGCGAGACGACGGTATATCCTCGATCGACGTTCTTTTTGGAATTGTTAATGACGCCCGCTTTTTGCAATTTGAAGAGTTCCTCTTGAAACAGATCGGTATGCAATCCCATATCCTTGCGTTGATACATGAAGGGATAGACACAACTGCAGAGTGGATTCCATCCAATCTTGAGGGTGGCACCGTCCGGTATGAGCTGTATCACTTGTTCTCCCAAATTGTGCAAGACACCGTCAGAAACCTTTTTGCTACGTAAAATGTCAAAGTAGGCCGGCCAGAGTTCTTGAGTCGTCTTGAGAGACAATGTTGTTTCCTTGCCGTCCTCTTGATTGTCATCATTATCGATACAGAGCCACCAATCGATTTGTTCCAATCTCAATTTGGAATGCCCTTCGGTCCAGGGCATGTGACGGGTGACTTCGGCAATGACAATTTTGGCATGTCGTATAAAACTCATGGTGTGTTCGACCCCCATTCCTAGCGAGACAAATCCCTTGTGTGGTTTGGTCACTTTAATGACACAGACATCCACCTGCAGAATATTTTCTTCCAACAACCGTGGGACACTGCTGAGACTCATGGGTCTATAGTCGGCCAATCCTTCGTGCGCGGCACTCATGAATGTCTGCAATTCTTCCTTGCTCTTGTAGACGGTCTTGGACATGCTGAAAAAAGAGCTGGTGCGAAATTTGTCAATGCTCTCATTCAAGTGGGGCAAATTTCCTCCGGGCAGCATTTGAATGATTTGCAAATCGCGGGTATGACTCGATTCGGTCAACGCCATGAGGACGGATTCGGGAGTGGACGCACAACTGCCAATGTAAATGCTGGATCCATTGGGTATCTTGGAAGGAACATCATCCGCCACAATCTCCTTGTCGGCCCAATGAGAAATAGCAGAATCCTTGTGGTTGTGGTTGCGGTTGGTTGTGGTATGCACAGAAACTGGAGTCATGGTATATCCTTCTCTTCTTGTTCTTTTTTATGTTGTTTTATTTCTTCCAACTGATTGCTGATTCGTTTCGTTTTGTTTTGTGAGAGCCTGGGCCGGGACCATGCAATCAACTCAATGGCTCATCAATCAGTCTTCGCGGTACGCTACTAACCGGTATGGTAGCTCGCTGTTGTCAGTGAGAAGCCAAAGAAGAGTTTCAACTGCTACCTCCAAGATGTCGGGGTCTTGGATTCTGTTTCCTGGTGTGTGTATAGCGGGTTTACTATGTGAATGGGGTGGACTAGCTACATGTAGTATGTGTGGGAATGGAGGCGAGAGGTCGATGGATCGCCATGGTCGATCTAAGACCTTCCCTCTCTTGACAACCCTTCGCGATGCTGGCACATCATCATCGAATCTTTCATTCGTGGATACCGTACCATAACCTACCGTACGGTACGTACAGTCTCGAAGTCCGAAGTACCGGTACCTACTATCGGTACAGTCGTAGTACCGTAACCATGCTGGTATAAACGTCGAAATGGACAGCCTTCTATTCAATCCTCTAACTGTATGAAAGGTATAGGCTTTAAAAATTAGATTAGATTGAAAGATAGAGCTTGGCGGCCCGTTCAGAATAAGTTGTCGTTTTGGATGGAGTATGATTGTATCAATCGAACCCGGAGGAGGCGTCCATGCCTGAATGAATATTAGGATAGAGCACTCATTCAAATAAGGAAGGTTAAAAGAATCGGTTCGCCGTCGTCGGCTAAACACGTCGTCGTCGTCGTCGTCGCATCATCATACCACCACCCTTGCCTCCTCCCATCATCGTGCTAGAAGTGGGGCGTGGCGTTGGGCGCGATGTGGGACGAGCCGTCATTCTTCGAGTCGGAGAACTGGTGGGACTTATTGTTGGCACATCGGATGGACTCTTGCTGGGGGTATAACTGGGCATGAAAGAAGGGGTAGCTGAAGGAACGTAGCTTGGACTCGACGATGGCGACACGCTTGGAGCCCACGATGGCGACGCACTTGGGCTAGACGATGGCGACACGCTTGGATGAGAACTGGGCGAGCTGGAAGGAGCAAATGAAGGTTCGACTGAAGGAGTCACAGAAGGTTCGGTAGAAGGAGTCGAAGAAGGTTCGGTTGAAGGAGTCAAGGAAGGCGTGAGAGAAGGTGAGAACGATGGGGTAAACGAGGGCTCTGTGGATGGCACGCTGGACGGAGCCAAACTCGGGGATTCACTTGGCTCTGAGCTTGGATCGTCTGTTGGTGCCACAACAGGAGCCAGCGTTGGTCTTTTGGTTGGTCTTGGTGATGGGCGCTTGGTTGGTCGACGAGTTGATGGTGCTGTGGGGCCTCCCTTCGAACCGCCCATCATGCTTCCAGACATCATTCCCAAGTTTCTTCGAGCTGCATACAGGATGGGACGAAATTGAGGAGAACCGTCATCATCTGCAAAGCCATCTTCGAAGCAGGCCACAGAAAAGATAAAGCAAAGCAGAATGGAAGAACGGAGAAACATCGTTATACAAGGCAGAGCATCCGATCTCGAAAAATGAAAGAAGATGGCCAGCATCAGCTCCCTGTGCCAACTGCTCGTTCGATTAGATTAGTCCAGACCAGATTTCTGACTCTTGTGGGTTTCGTTGCCCACAATCTATAGCTAGCCAGAACTCGCGCATGGTTGAGCCGTTGTGGCTACAGTCGAGTGACTCACACGTTGTTTCGTGTGGGAGTCAATTGAATCAATCAACTCGACCGCTCGAAGAATGGCAGCAGATTTTTGTGGGTGTTGGTACAGATCAAGTATCCGCTAGCAATGGTATTCTGGATTCTACTGAAAGCGAACTACTAGGGCAAAGACGCAGTCAAAGTTGGAGTTTCTCAATCATCAATCGTGCCGGTAGCAGTGAGAGGGACGCTGTTGCTGTTTGCCGATCTGCCTACGGATATGGGAACACTCGTCAAGTCTTCATCGACAAAGGTCAGTCGGCGAGGATTACAGTACTGTAGTCGTCGGACGAGGGAGTTGCACTCTTTCGTCGGATCCAAAGCAAGGTTGTTTGATTCCCTTGGTTTATCTCGATATCGGTACCATACCACTGGCAGGCTGGCAGGCAGGGGTGCTTCAGTCGCAGAGCGATCATCTTCTCGATCCGTCGTTGCTGTTCACTTGTTCTCTTGTTGATTTCTCTTTCAGAGCACTCCTGCTCTTCTTGAGTGGTAGCAATAGACTTGTGCATACTTGTCGCTCGTAAAGGTAGGTAGGTAGATCTACGCACAATCGTTCCGGTAGCTGTCGGCTCATCATGGCACAACACAAGCGCCACAGGGGCTTGACGATCGATTTGGATTCGATTCGGCTGGATTGGATGATTCGATTCGATTCAACTCGATTCGAATGATTATTCAGATTCGATTCCACTTTTAGGTCAAGTGGAGCTACTAGACTATAGCAAGATCATGTCAATATGGGTCTATAGAGGTTGTAAACCTCCCCTCCAGACTAGGATCCAGGCAAAGGCAATGGCCCTGGT